AATGATTAAGATTTCTGTTAAAAAAATAATAATTAAGATTTACAAATTCGATTTGATTTACAAATCATGTTTGGAAATAGAATCATAATTAAGGCAGATATTATTATAAATCGACTGTACAACTAATAAATTTTCAATAATTTAGAATAAGATTTACAAATTCGATTTGATTTACAAATCATGTTTCTATGTAAAATTAGAATTAGTATTTACAAATTCTCTTTGATTTACAAGTCCGCGCGACAATAAAATCACAACTGCTGCATATATCATTAATAATACTTAAAAAAATAAAAGAAAGAATACCAATAATTCAAGACATGCGTAATACGATTTTACATCACAATAAATTAAAATTAATACCATTAACATTAATTTGAATTTGAGTATAGATTATATACCAATTTTTTTTTAATTTCTTTTTTGAATCTACATTATCCAAAACACTAAAATTTGTTAACATTAGATAACTACAAAATTAAAAAACTAAATCGGATTAAGCAAAACTTAAAATGATAATATGATAAGCCTAATCATTTTGGCTTAGAATGAATCAAACGATTATCCAACTATATAAAATAATATTTTATTTCATAAAATTTATCTAAAATTTCAACTATTATTTGCTTTAAGTTTATTGTATATCCAATCTATGGTTTGCTTACTATATATTTAAAATATAAAATAGGTTGGATCGAGTTTAAGGTGATAAGAACGATCTTTTTTCTTGTGGGGAATCAAACAAAATTTATGCTATTTTAGGCATAAAATTTGGTTTCATTTGATAAGCCAAACAAATTAAATAATTTTGAATAATGTTAAATTAATCGATTACTATTAAATTAACTTCATTTGATTTCTATGTTTAAAATTTTCAAAATACTTTTTCAATGCGGATCTTAAATGTATCATGTTTATTAGCAACATGTATATATTTTTTCAAAAAGTATGACGATCATATAATTAATTTAATCATATATCATATGTTAGATGTTATTAGTTTGGTTGGGGACACTCATTATATTCAAATAAGTAATATATATTTTTTCATATTTGGTATTTTTTTTTAAATAATGAAATGTTAAACATAAATAAAATATTTAATATAAAGTTTTAGAAAAAGTTTTGAATTAAAAAGTCGGTTCGCGCACGGGATACATACTAGTAATGTTTAAATGACTTAAAAAAAAAAAAAAAAACTTATTGATGCGTTGCTGAAATTAAAAACAATTTTACTACTGTACAATCATCCTATGTTCGATTTTATTTCTTATCTCCGTTAATAACCACCGGCGGTCCGCCACCCGCCGTAGATTCAGACGGCCACCTCCGCCGAATTCCAATATTGTTAGAGTAGAATACCCGGCGTTCCAATCTGATTGGATCTTTTTCTACTTGTAAAGACAATTTGTTGGAATTTATATTATTTTGAGGCATTTCTTTATCTTATGTCTATGCACTTATCTTATATACGCACATATGATAAAGTCCTTTGATTATTATTAGCTATGAGACATGGTTGCGCATTCGATGGCAATCATGGAACATGTCTTTA